CAAAAAGAAACTCCCTTTCTCCCCTTTTTTTGGGGGGGATCTAAATGACGATGTCTTGGCCATTTGAAAGGGGCTTCCCTAAAATGTGCACAGCACATGCATTTAGACGCATTTTATATTTTACATGACCCCCTGTTTCCGAAAAAAAATGAAACACATCACCCCTACTGCATCGCCGGCCTTCCCTCTGCCGTTTTGCCAGGCCTTTTCAAAAACCAAGCCGAGGGCAACCAACCGCTTAAGGGCGAGGGTCTGCTCTCGAGACAATCGCTTTGCGAGCTCAAATCCGTCCTGGGACAATCCGACGAGCCCAGGCCTCTTTCTGAGCCACAAACACCGCGGGCAGTGGCACGACGCGTCGTGCATTGGAGCAAGCGCCAACGGTTATGCTGGCAATGGCTTAGACAAGCACCTAACGGTAATGAACATCGGCAGAGTCATCATGGCTTTGGTGGCCTACGCTTGCTGATATCTGGCGGCCTTGCAAACCAAAGCATCCTGCATCAGCCAGCCAAGCTCGGCCGTTTTCCTTTGCCTTCAGCGGTCTGACAGCGCGTCAGCCAGCCTTACATGCCAAATTCTGAGGCGGACCAATCCAGTGCCCAGCAATGCATGCCACCGAATGCGACCTTGACTCCACTTCCAACATGAACAAATCGGCGAAGACTTGCGCGAGCAGCTGGCAAACGACTTGGAACATCTGCTGGCAATTGCGGAAATCCAGCCCATAACGGCCAGCCAGCCTGCGGCATGATATGCAACACCACAACACTCACGTTGTCCTGCGCCGAGAGTCAAGACCAAAACGTGGAACTGCAATGTCTGCGACTCAAAGCTTGGTTCCTTCTTGCAATGAACACATCACTCGTGTATGGCCAAGCAGTGAAAAAGCATTTGCTCAAAAGCCACGTGACACGGAACCACTACGAATTTGCCCGCTGTCCTGCGCCTTCTTCTCCTCGATAACGTGTTGCACAAGCTCCTGCGCTGGGGCATTTTGCGAGTCTCGCAACCTCCGCGGAACCCCCCAAACTGCCGAGTGAACAATGCATTGGTTCGCGCACCCTGCTTTGGCTTCTGCCGAAACGGGGAAAGGGGCGGGCCGCCATCATGTTCATCCGCTTGAATGTAACGAAACGCACTTCCGAGATCTGCTGAGAGAGTCTCCTTGCACACACCCCGAATGTCGATGGAGTCTGCCTCTAGCTCGGCTCGACCTTGCGCGCGTGCCAACACGTCCGATGCATGGCACATGCAACCCAACGGTGCCAAGAAGATAATTTGACCTCCCCGGAACGAAGACACGAATGCCCCACCCCCAGGCAGCAAAAAAACTGGACACCTGGGCTCCATGAAATCGAGCTCGCACTCGACTTCGCGGCGAAGGGCACTGCCGGGCCTTCCTCGTTGGCCACCAGGCTGTGGGTGAACTCGATGGCCTCTGCGGCAGTCCAGGCGTTCCAGAAACCGTCGCAGGCGAGGATCACAAAGCGGTCCTGGCGGAACCGAGCGCGGAGGCGGGAGGCGGGGGGCGGGCGCGGGCGAGCCTTCTCTCTGTCCATCTGGAACTTCATGTACTCTGGCCTGAATCGCGGCGGCGCCCTTTCTGTGGTTGTTTCATGGGGGAGGGAGGGGAAAACACCTGTCGACGGGTTCCCCATTTGGAGGCACAACTCAGCTCACCGATCGATCGGGCGCCCGCACGTGGACAGCACGCCAAACTTCTTCAGGGTCAGGTCCCCGAAAGCTCGGGAGACCTGCAGAGCAGGCAGCGGGGAGAGCCTAGTTTGGCAGGGCTCATGTGGAAAACCCGAGTGCCCCTGAGCTGTTCTGAAGTATCCGCTGAAGCTTTCGAGCAAGTGTTTTTACACGAGTGACTGCATACATCGACACATGGTTCCACGGACAATTGTCGCGCATGCATTTCAGCTAAGCAAAGCAACGGATGTGGAAAAAGGGCTGGGCAAAACGTGCTGCAGAAGCAAGACTCCGGTCCCCTTTTTTTAGGGGGACCAAACGCAGCAAGCAGTTCGTGTAAGCAACTTTTGCAAAACTATATTCAAACGCGGGCTCGCCCAACCTTGCTTTTCGTGAAGTCCGGCCGTTCTTCGATTTAAGGAACTCCCTGTTGCCTTTCCTATCGTTTGGTCCTCCTTTACCATCCAAGGATGGATTTCACAAAACCCCGCATCGTTTCCTTGTGGGTGCTTCCCCGAAGCCAAGCACGGCAACTTGGAAGATTGGGGCTGGGGCCCGCTCCCCCCGCCCTGCAACAGGCCCCAGACCAGCAAGAGACTGCCGGCGAAATTGTCAGCTCGCATGAGACACAAAACTTTAATGGGGGGGATCATTTAGGTGAGCATTCATGTCAAAAAAATAACTTTCAAGCTGGTTCTCGATTGAAATTCATGCCCACAGTTTCTGTCTATGATTGGGGGCCATGTCAATGGCTGGTTTGTCTCTGTTGGCCAACATCAAAATGCTCTTTGCAATATTGCACTATTGTGGGCGGAGTGCTTGCTTCAGTGGTTAAAGCCATGTCGCTTTGACGGGAATCCTTCATATAATGTACACATACATATAGACACATAAGATATGGTTCGGGGAACCACATAAGATATGGTTCTGGGGGGGTACCCCCCCTTTCCGTTGTATTCGCTCAAACTCCAATCAAGTTTTGGGGTCAGCCAGTTAAGAGTGGTTCATGTTTGACACCCCAAATTGCCTTACCAATTGGTGGCTCTGATTTTGCAGTCAATGGGTACCTTCCCGTTTGGTGTCAAGAGATGCGGATCAAATCTCACCAAATCCCAGCGACCGATGCACCACCAAAGTTCGCTTCGTCGAACAGGGGAACCAAGTCCCAATACCATCCCACACCCACGCTTTCACGCGCACCTCTAAAATGCCGTTGATGCGGCCGTTCTCTACAGCACCGCCGGACCTGACAGAAGAGAGGCATAGCTCTGAAACATGAACCACGGTAGCCCGAGACATCATTTCTGCCCAATTACTTAGGGTGTTTCATATTGCAAGTCATGGCCTTGGATGTCTTACAAGCCAAATATGAAAACATGGACACAAGATTGAGAAACACGCCCCTGTGCTTTTGTGTCTTGGAGTGTGCTTGCCCCCATATCCTCCGATCACAAGCTCGAAATTGCCTCGGTCAAACCCGTGGACGTGCTGCTGATTCCCCCATACGCACGAGTTCCTTGGTGGCTGAAACTGCGCGATTCCCCGGTCGTTCCAGAGGAGTCCCCAGGCGGTGTACTGATTTGCCGACATCAAACGACTGTAGGGCCAGGAAGAACTATCCAGTATCTTGAGCCCCACGTACGGTTTCCCCCTTTACATGCCGCTAGGTTTGGGTATGTAAATCAAAAAACCTGACCCTGGGCAAACGATCTCAGACCAACATGTCACACTCTGACTCCGCTCCGGATTGCTGCTTCCGGCCTAAGGATCCTCTCTTTCTCTTTCATCATCCAGCACCTCGGATGGCCATCCGGAAGCCGAGGCTTGCCCCAAGCCGTCCAGCCTACGGACACCGAAGCCCATGAATCTTTGGCTCGGAAAAGTCCTCTCTGAACCAAGCCCAAAATACCTAAACAGGAGAGTGGGGTTTTGTTGGGAAAGGAGGGGTCGCCAAAGCTGGACCCATGGCTTCATTCACCATTAGTGTGCATGAAAAATATGTTGTTCAACATATACCATTACTGTACAGCATACACAAAAACAATAACATCAGAATCCAACTTGGGCCTGCACAAGACCGATACCCATCAATCTGCAAAACCAATCAGGGACTATCCAACACTGACACCACGGTAACATTGTCCGTTGCTCATGTGACTCACGGACAATATATATATATATATATGTATATGTATATATATATATATATATATATATATTGCACGCAACAACATATGAGCAACGGACCATTCTATTGGTAGGACACAGGGGCACAACCCGAACGTCCCACAAGAAACAGGGGCACAATCCCATTAGCCTTTCTCTTTAGATCTGATTGTCCATGACATGGACGGGAAGCGGCCGCAATCGGCAGTATCTGTCTCAGCCGCACAGTCTTCGCAAGCTTTGGTGACGTTTAAAAACCAGACGACCACAGGAGACTGGATCCCCCCTAAATTTTGAGACTCGCAGAGCTCTAGCGGCTCAACTCCCGAGCGGGGGCCGACATCCCGTGGCCACCTGCTTGGGCATTCGGACAGGCCTTGATTCCAACCGGCAAATCTTCGGCATCAGCTTGTTGAAGCCATGGAAAAATTACGCACAAACTTCCTGGGCCAAAAGTTTCGGCCCAAAGGGAAGCTTGTGCGCAAAAACCCTGGACCAACTGAGCTGCATCAACTTCAGCTGTCTGGGCCATTGCCCTCCATAGGACGCTGCGAGAAGTGAAAAGGCGGAAACTTCTGAGACTTTTGAAGCCGAAATCTGCAACCGCAACATGTGAAACTGATCTGCAAAAAGCACTTCAAATTGCGCTCGAAGCTAAGGAAACACAAAACTTGAACTGTTTGCCTGTGCCTTCCCTTTAATAAAACCATCGGAAAAGGAGTCCACCATTTTCAAAAACCACCCTCTACAGGACTGCATATGATGGCTATGCTGCGACCTCTGCAGAAACTCTAAGCCATGGCGCTTGTGCTGCCTTTGCTGCAGGGGAATGCAAAGGAAGTCCTTCGCAACGCCATGTAAGCCATGGTCAAACCTCCCCCAAAGTGCCCGTCAGACATGCTTCACGTACAGCTGATGCCTGCGGGCGTCTAGGATTGTATGTGTAGTGCCTGTGTGTGGGCATGTTTAAGCTTGCAAGTGCGGCGAATCGAAGACACCAAATGGGCGCTGAAGGAAGCAATCCTCCATAATATCAGAAGGATAGGCGCAATGAAACGCTGCTTGAGCACTCGTGAAAAAGCACATACTATCATATTATTTAGTCAAATAGAAGATATGCACTGTAAACTCGAACAAACTCATATTATGCCGTTTAATGGGGGGGCATCCACCTCGGGCGAGTGTGCGCGCCCTCTCCTCCTGGTCATCAGGGTTCTTCTGCCGGCACAGGTAGGCCATGCCTGGAGTGCATGCGAGATCTGACCGCAAAGGCGTCAGCCCCTTTTGGGAGCGTCAAATGGGTGTGGGTCAAAATTAAACCACCAGGGGACCACAGGTTTTAGTCCTTGCTTCCATTTATCCTGGTTCCATTTTGGGTACCCATTTTTGACCCACAGCTAGATCAGGTTGCGCTCACATGACGTGCTTGCAAACCTTTTGTTCCTTCCAACCCAAAGCGTGCGCTGTGAAAGATCATTCCATTTTCCCGCGTATCCCCAAGAACCGGCAGATGCAACGAAGACCCCGCCTTTCTTTGCTATCCCCATGTGGTTTGGACCCCGTAAACCAACCAAAAAGGCATATCTAGCCCTGAAGCAAGTATTGAAACAAACGCTTGTTGTCCAATTGCTGCATTTTGGAAGCAGAACTTGGGCTTCTGTGGTTCCTTTGAGCCCCCCATGTTTTGCTCGACTCTGAATAGTCTGGTTGAAAGCAGTAACTAAGACCCATCGAGACAAATGTTCACACCCGAATCCTGTAATGAAACACAAAACATGAAGAATATTCCTTGCAAACCTCGGGTAGGCCCCCACACTGTCCCCCAAATTCACGCAGATCATCTTCTCCGCGTTGGCCAGCACGACGTTGGCCGTGCAGCCGTCGTAGGCGCCTGGCGCCAGGTAGCCGGAAGGGCGGGCGGCAAGCCAGTCGACTCGGGAAAAAACCAAAAAAAGACATCGCACAAGGCATGCACGCAGTGGTTGAACAAAGAAAGGCAACAAATGCTGGAGAAATCCGAAAACGTCTTCCATGCACTTGCTTGAAAGACCCTTCTGCTTGTGGACTCTGGCAGCAGTCCCGGTCGGCAACCCAAAACCAGATCCAAGATCCACGTCAAGCCTTGTACCAAGGTACTTTTTCTGCGCCCTTCAGATTGCATGCTCTCCAAAACGAGGCCTCTTGGTGGAAAACCAAGTTCACTTGAGTCACACAAACAAAACCTGATATTAAAGTGGTCTGACAAAACCTCATAAGAATTCCAATCGGCCAATGTCTGCACCTACATGGCAAGGGAAGTGTCCCTAAAGCTTCACTTCAAGCCTTGGTCGCCGGCCACCCCCTAGCCCAACAAGTCCAACTTCCGCAGCTTCTGCAAAAAAATACAAGTTACGTGTCAACCAAAATCCCCAAAGGTTCCAGCGATCACGGTCTGCCAGGCCCAAGACCCTCAAGGCCCACCTGCCAGCTCCGTGGAGATCCGCGAGTCCATCCGCTGGAACACCGCCTGACCCCCCAACACCGGCGAGGCCGCGCGCGCGGGGGGGGGGGAGGGTTTTGGGGGGGGGGGGGGGGAGGAGGTTGAGGTTCCGCCGGACCCCTCTTGCGCCTCACCCGCTGGCGTCTTCGCGACTTTTTGCGCAGCCCACCCCGCCAAAACTAGTTCGTTTTGGAGGTGTTGTGTGCCGCCGAAGCGCCAGCTGTTGTTTGAAGGGGGAAAGCTAGCAGCAAATATCCGGAAGAAGGGCTTGCAGTTCCCCTCACATTCCATCCCCACCTCGGTGACTTTCATGACTCGCTTGTCCGCCATGGGGCCTGCAACAAGCACCCAATTTGCTGTCTCCACTGCCAGCCGGCTCAGGATGCCAGTGGGCAGGGCAGACTCAGGTGGCAGACCGCTGACTCACCCACTCACACTGCAGGAACGCCCTGGCTGCCTTTCTTGGGCTCATCATTGGCAAAGGCGCTGGCCAACCTTGGGACCAGTGAAGTGGCCAAAGACCTGTTCAAATTGCCTTAGCTGCCGTACTTTACTGACCTTCAATCAGCACACCTTATCCACGTTCACTTCCTTTACGTTGATCTTTCGCGTTGTGACCCGAGCGAATTCAGTCATGCACCCCACACACCCGGGACCTGCGCAGCCATGCCGGGCACCGCACTCGGGAGCCAGAAAGGTCTTGACAAACTCAGCCACCTGAAGCTGCTTTGACGTCTGCTCCACTGCCCCAAACACCAGGAGGGGGAGCTCGAAATGAATGTGTCACTGTCAGGAGGGGGGCTCAAAGACCTTCCTAAAAGGCAAGCAACGATAGGGCATGCGCCAGAAAAAATTGCAAACTCTGGAGGGGGGCAACGAGAACAGTTGTGCTTCGGAAGCCGACGGGAAGCGCATCTGGTGCTTCAAAGCGGTCGCGAGTGGTTGGTGTTTCCACAGCCTAGCTGCTTCGGAAACCCAAAGAAGTCTTCCTTTTTTGAAGAAGGGGCAAACAGTCAAACAAAGGGGTTGCCCACAAGAGGCCCTGATCATTTTGAATGTGGCTGCTTTGGGGTTCTCTTTAGTGTCCAACTTGTTTGGAGGTCGCTGAAAAAACGGGATCTTCCCTGCTCAATAGAATTGGCAATACCAATTTACATGCTAGGAAACTGTCAGGCTTTGGCCATAAAGGAGTTAATCTTGGCAATACTAAATTAGATAGTACTAGCAAGTCCAAGTCTCACCCAGACCCCCAGGATTTTCACCAAAGACGGGGACTGGTTTCATTGTGGGGGGGGGGCATCAAAAAGGGTCCAACATTAAGGTGTTCATCGTTCAATCCCTCAGAGTAAAGTGGGGCTGAACAAGGGCGCCTGCTTGCCGCCGTGGCCATCGAAGATCCCGAAGAGCGCGAAGTCGCGCTCTTCCGGCAGCTCGGGCACCCTCGAAAAAGGCCAGCATCGGCCACCGTACGGGTACCAACCGGAAGCTCGGGTCCGACAAAGCCGCAACAAGGGATGGGCTTTTCCCCACATGATTTGAAAGGGCAAACGGGATTCTTTTTCCTCCCACGTGATTGCTGGCGGTTTGCACGTGCGACCGCTCAAGGCTTTCCAAGGAGCCAAACACGGCAGCCACCCCCTCCAATGCAGTCAGGCAGCAGGTCGCGGAGGGACGGGCAAATCACCGTCTCATCCTGAGGTCAACAAAGTATTCAACTGAAGTGCCCCGAAATATGCGCAGACTTTGCTTTCAGAAGTCTCCCACGTCATGTTGCCCCTACCAATGACAAGTTTCTCTGGAGTGCTTTTGCAGGAAGCAACTGGGCTGCTCAAACCCAAACCAATAGAAAATGCTGATGTCCTCCTCACTCCAAGACCTCCGACACCGCAGTTGAAAGAATGCCGCGCCTCCATCTGTCGGCGCATGCCCTTCTCCCCGTAGGCACCGGCACGAACACCGCACCAAGTCACCTGTGCACCAAATCAGCCGTGCTTTTGCTCAGGCAAGCCCACTTAGGATTGACGTTCAACACCAGACTCTGAGACTGGAAATCGCATTGGGAAGAAGAAGAAAAAAATGTGAACGAAACCAGCACAAGTTGTGCTTTTCCCAGCGTTGCCCGCCTCGGCCAGGGTGACGTTCTCCGCGGCGGCGGCGGCCGCGGCCTTCTTCACCTGCGCGAAATTTGCGTACTTCGCGCATCCCGTTGGAGGGGGGGGGGGGTTGTGGCTAGACGCCTTGCAGGGGGCCACCTCATAGATTTCTATCATGGAGGGGAGGTTCGGTCGGGTGAGGTCAAAAGCTACCGCCTCTGGCGCCAGCTCGATGATGTCCATATCCTGTCATTTGGATATCAACCCCAAACTGACACATTCGTTCCGGGAAGAAAAGAGTGAATATAGTGAATACACAACTTTGAAAGAAGCTGGACATCCGAAAAGCAGCACAGTCAGCATGCTTGCCGCAGACCACACCCAGTTCGCTCCAGCCAGACTGGTCCACCCAAACATAGTCTCCTCCTCCGCTTTTCTCTTCTTCTCCATGGACGGCTGCACCTTAGCCACACACACACAAACACAACACAACACAACACAACACAACACAACACAACACAACACAACACAACACACACACACACACACACACACACGCACACACGCACACGCACACGCACCCACACACACACGCACACAAACACACACACACACACACACACACACACACACACACACACACACACACACACACACACACACACACACACACACACACACGCACACACGCACACGCACACGCACGCACACGCACACACCACGCACACGCACGCACGCACGCACGCACGCACGCACGCACGCACGCACGCACGCACGCACGCACGCACGCACGCACGCACGCACGCACGCACGCACGCACGCACCGCAGCACGCACGCACAGCACGCACGCACGCACGCACGCACGCACGCACGCACGCACGCACGCACGCACGCACGCACGCACGCACGCACGCACGCACGCACGCACGCACGCACGCACGCACGCACGCACGCACGCACGCACGCACGCACGCACGCACGCACGCACGCACGCACGCACGCACGCACGCACGCACGCACGCACGCACGCACGCACGCACGCACGCACGCACGCACGCACGCACGCACGCACGCACGCACGCACGCACGCACGCACGCACGCACGCACGCACGCACGCACGCACGCACGCACGCACGCACGCACGCACGCACGCACGCACGCACGCACGCACGCACGCACGCACGCACGCACGCACGCACGCGCACGCACGCACGCACGCACGCACGCACGCACGCACGCACGCACGCACGCACGCACGCACGCACGCACGCACGCACGCACGCACGCACGCACGCACGCACGCACGCACGCACGCACGCACGCACGCACGCACGCACGCACGCACGCACGCACGCACGCACGCCGCACGCACGCACGCACGCACGCACGCACGCACGCACGCACGCACGCACGCACGCACGCACGCACGCACGCACGCACGCACGCACGCACGCACGCACGCACGCACGCACGCACGCACGCACGCACGCACGCACGCACGCACGCACGCACACACGCACACCCACACACACACACACACACACACATGCGTCTTCTCCTCCTCTCCACTTACTTGTTGCAAAACAAGACAAAACCCCCCAAGAGCCGCCCTCTCCTTTTCCTCGTCACCGGGATCCGGCGACTTAGGAGGCCCCGCGCCCATGGGCAGGTACTGGCCGTGGAACTCCGGCTCGGTGAAGATGGTGTCGCCTGAAACGTAGGGAGGCCCACCGGGAAGCCAAAGAGCCACTTTACGGCTTCCGTGTTTGGTTCAACAAAAACCAACAACCGCTTTACGTGAATGTTCCAGACTGACAGCAAAGCATGACAGCAAAGCATGACAGCAAAGACTTGCGTGAGCTCCCTTGTCTTTGACAGTCACCCTTCTTCCCGAGCAAAGCTGACTAATCAGCTCGCATTACCGGCCGATCTCAGGGCCTTCTTCCACCTTGTGTTGTCGAAGCGTCTCGTCATCCTTCAGGCTCTTGCCATTGTGTTTCAGCCTCATGGCGCAAGAACTCGATCGAAATGGGGCTCCCTTACAAGCAAACAAGAATCAAAGAACAAAGAAAGAAAGAAACAAAGAAAGAAATGCAGAAGGAAAGAACCCAAGACAATAAGACAAGGAGCAAACAAAGAATGAAAGCATAACACAAAAAGAAAAGGCAAAGTAATCATGTGTGTACACAAATAACTGATTCAATGATAGGCCGGCTTGTCAAAAAGCCATACCTACTCCCATGTGTGCTTTATTTACTGGTTTGCCAGGAAGCACACATAGACAGCCTGCACAATCAAGGCGCCTTCACTGCTAGATCCAAAAATAACTCCCCTGCGTTTCTTGGGACGATAACCTCCTTTCGGTTCCGCACCAAACCCAACCAAGTGCTGCCCTGCATAACCGAAGGAGCCCCAAAACCGGTCGCCGAAACCAAAACTTAGCTCTGTCGATGGGGGAAGAAAACAAACACGCACTTCTCGAGGCATTTCCTTCTGAGAAATCGTACCCTTTTGGCTGCATTTTCTGGTGAATTTGCAGGCCAACCACTTGAGGCTGGGGCTTGTAACAGTCCAGGCCTTTCTTCTCCTCGGGCGACGGAAACAGCCCGGTGCCAAATGTCACAGCACAGCGCCTCTACTTCCTATGGAGGCAGCCTTGAAGGGAAACCACTCATTTTAGAGGTTCCGTGATTTTTTGGGAAACCACCCATTCAGGGTTTTTTGAGCCAAGAGCCAGGGAGTCAGCTCAAAGCGGGAGCCTGGATCTTCTTCCGGACGCTCTCGATCAACTCGTCTTCGTTCAGGTCCACCTCTACGTCGTCCTCCGCACGATCGCGCGCGGTTTAAAACGGCCATCAGAACGGCGGGCTGCTCGGGTTTCCCTGGCGTTTCCCTCGGGTCACGCAGGAAGGGAATGAGTTGGAACAACTGAACCATCCAACTCGTTTCATTCAAAATTCGATTCCCAGAAAACGGGGTGTCATTCCCAGAAACGTAAATTTTCCCTGAGAACCAAGCCTGGAAACCCGCAACCTTCGATCCAAGAATCCTGCGTTCCCTTCTGGTTTCCTTCCCCCTGTCACACCAAGGCCCAACTCAGTCGTGTCTTCGATGGGTCTTACAGGCCTGGACCCATGTCTCGGCGGTCAAGCTGCCGTCAGTGCATGAGGTAAGCGCTGAAGGGTATGCTGCGCTTCAATTCCGAACTCCTCTGCCCCTTCTTGAGCAAAGCTTGAGGCGGTTGTCCAAGAAAGTCTGTGCCGGGCAGCTCTCTAGCCCTACACACGGGTCACCAAAGGCCCTAGAGCACCAGCACGAACCACCCGTCCTTGCGGGATTTGGACTCCGGCCTCGGGCCGAGTCCGCGAGTCCCGTGAGTTCCCATCCCCAAGCGAAGTGCCCGGGGCAAAATCGCACCTTCTGATGGCTTGGTTCAAGTTCACCCCGAGTCCCAAGTTTTGCTACGAGACCAAAAGCAAGGTGTCCTTTGATCGGCCAACTACCAACGCGCCAAGGCCGAGGCGGTCTCAGGTAGAGTTTCATCCGGCCAGCCCGGCCTGAAACGTATGCAAAGCGCATCAAACTTGCTCTGCCACAAAGCAAGCACAACATCCGACCCCCCAATTTGCTCGCACGGTCATGCCACATGCGTCTTGGCGGTGACAAGGGCTTACGAAGAAAGAACGGGTTCGCATATTGCGAGGGAAGTGAAAAAAGAAAACACGGAGGACCCAATCGCTCTTCTGAAGGGGCTCGTTTGCCCGCTGTTTTTTCTGGACTTTTGGAGTTGCAATTTTGTTCGGTCCTTGTTACAGAACGTTATCACAATTCGGGACCCTACCCTTTGCCCCTTCTTTGAAAGGCCCGTAAGTCAACCCATCCAATGTTCATCCTTTTACAACCTTCCCTGCTTTTCCCACATCCTGTTGGATAAACTGTCACCAACCCACACCCCGCCCACAAGCTTTTCCCACGAACGAGCTGCTTCTTGGCGCTTGGGCTTCTGGCCGCCTGGATTCCGGAGCCCGGAACCCGGACCCGGCGGGTTTAGGAGCCAAGCTTCGGCCGCGGCAAAAATATCCGGCAATCCACGCCGGTTGGCATGGGAACCAACTGGGCAAAAGGATCGAATTCAACTGCGGGAATTTTTCCGAAAGCAATGCTTCCAGGATTCCCGGAGCTGATCTCCCCCCCCCCCATGCTACTTCATTGGTCATGCTGGCTCCATGTTTCGTCACATAGCCGGCCACGCCCTCCTAGTAAGGAATGAGCGGAAGCTGTTTTGGCTGACCAACCCATTATGACACCCGGTCTCTTCGGGCAAGGAACCCTTTGTAGATTTCTGTGGCAGATGATGATCTAGCTGCGTATGCAAGTCCGGAGAGGGCAGGTTAAAAGTACACCAATACAGTTCAAAAACATGTGACATTGCAATGTTGCCAGGATTGTTGAATGCATACCGGCGGCGGTCCACCTTGTCACAGCAGCTGCAGCAGGAGCTGCAAGCAGGTTGGCTATGTGGACCGACAAGCTAGGGGCCAAAACAAAAACACCTGCACAAACCCCAAATAGCGTCAAACAGGCGCGATCCGAGGACTTTGGGGCAAAAAAGGTGGACCAACCGGCCCCGAGGTGCCAGTCCATCTATCTCAACGCCCCATGGCTGTTGGCACCCCAAGCTGTTAGCACCCGGCTCGCCCACAGAACCTCGGACAGCGCCAGCACCCCAAACTGCATACCGTGTCGTGGCCACGCCGCCCCCAGCATTCTCGATAGCACTTGCACCAGCGCCCCAAAAAGCAGCGCCTGCAGCGGCACCCTAAATTGAACCCATCACTCTCGCAAACATACGCCCACGCCCCAACACAGTGACCTGCACCGCGCCAAAACAGCACCTGCACCTGCAACCCAGTCTAAAAAGCACCTGCGCTAGTGCCCCAAAATAACCAGCACCAAGCTGGATGCCATCAATTTTGCAAACACGCGCCCACACGTCACCAGCACCGCGCCTGCACCAACTGCATGCCCTTAATGGCCATTTGCGATCACGCAGGTCTGCTGTTTCAACGCGTATTTGTTGCTCCAAAACGGCCACTTGCGATGACGCAAATCCGCAGTTTCTGGAGAGAAATGGGAGAAACAGTCAACTGCAGGTCTGATCACACCACAAGACATGTCCGTTCAGTGACGTCCTGTGGATTCGAGCCGTCCAACAGAAGCTGCAAAGTCCATCGCTTCGCCATTTGACCAGCGTTATGTCACACGTGCTGAGGAAAGTCACCAAAGAGACAAAAAACAACAGAAAACCAATAAAAGCTGTTCTTCATCAAGCTTTGCAAAAATCTGGCACGCGTGCTTGCCCTGCCTTCCTGCCAAGTCTGCCAAAACTACCACTGAGATTGACTTGCTCATGCGGCTTCAACATGCCTATGCCGGCAAAATGTGCCCTGCACCGCGTCTTGCTTGCACGCGCACAAGCGCCCCGAAACGACTTGCCACAGATTTATCCTTGCTTCGGGGAGCCTGCCGCGCAAGGCCTGTAAGGCGCACATGTCAACTTGGCCCAAACTACTGTCTTTACTGCGTAGAGGGCCCTAACAAAAATCACTGCGTTCTCGATGCCAGCCCGGTCCCCGGCCACAGTCAGTCAGGTGGAGTTGCACAGGTCCACCGCCTCGCAGTTTTTCGCTAATACACGCGGACGCAACATGCTTTAGCTCTGCCTGAAATCAAAAACCTTGGTGTCGCAGTCGTTCTTACTGGGGACCACTTGGTGAGCTTGCCAGTCGTCAACATGGAACGAAAGGTCTGTTCTACATCCTACCTTGACAGACAGACCCTGGCATCGCAATGGGAGCCGAGGCAAAAAATAATGGCGATCACGCGTAGCTTCGCGCACATGTCCAGCAAGACGACGTTCCCACTTGACCGCGTCCGGCATTCGCAATCACGCAGGTCCGCAGCATCAACGTAAAGAAACCATGAAAGGAGCCGAGGGAACGCAATGACAAGAAGAACAAAACAGACAAACCAACAACAAAAAATGTAAAACACCACAAAGAGGACAACGAACACAAGCAAAACAAGAAAGAGCCAGCAAACGGACTTGCAGAAAGTTTGGAGCTGACAAGCCGAATCGTCACTGTGTACTATGATCACGATTTATTGCGCAGGGAGCAATAGTCTCTTGGAGATTCCAGAACAAGCAGGTTGAGAAAGCCTTCGGCAATTTACAACATACCACAAACGTTACAAATTCAAGAGAAACCCTAAAAGTGCTCCATAGAAAGCTATGTCTCATTGAAACAGCAACAACAAAGAACCCATCACCGCCAAAATGCAAGCAAATGCTGTGTGTGCGAATAAACTCAGCACATGATTCTTTTAACCTGCCGAGAAATCTCGAACTCCGATTCGCATTGCATGTCTGGTTCTTGGGCGTCTAACGGAGGCCGTGGTCACCAGCAAGCAGAGTACCAACAATGCGCAGCACAATCAGCATACGGTGATTGCCAACGCTTGCAAATTGTGTGAATGGTCGTCTTCCAATTCACAAAGGCCTTGCGTTTTCCATCGAGCTCCTGAAGCAGAATCGCCTGTCGACAAGCAGAACGTTCACGGCACAAAAAAAGGCTTCAGAGATCAGCGACACCTTTTTGCCTTCGCCCTAGAAAGGCCACGCGCAAGCACTCTGCCATCTGCGTGCAGCCGCAGGGGCCGAGCCATCTTTGGCCTTCCTTCGCCAGGGTTTGTGCACGTACAGTTGTCAATTGGCAGACACCTTGAGTTTCAGAAGCAAGTCGACTTGGACACGCCTGTTTTTCTTGGCCTTCATGGGTCTAAGAACTTTTGCTCGATTCGCACTTCCGCAGATCACAGGCAAGTGGATTTCTTTCACTTTCGGTCTGGGCCCTTGTTGGATCGTATTGGCCTTTCACTATTCAGAAAGGAGCCTTCCGTTTTGTTAAGGCCTGTTGCACTGCTCCCAGCTTGAACCCAAACAACCCTCACATCAAAGAACCCCGCAAATCCAAAAGGCGCGCACTTCTTTCTCACGGGTTGCTTGAAAGTAGCACTGCCTCCAGGGCACGCGGTGCACCTGGAGCAGGAGGAAGCATTGTCCCCCCTGTGAAACTTTAAATGCGCCAGACAGGCGTGTCCTGGCTATTGCAGCGCAAGCACACAGCGTGGCAAGCGTGCCCACGCTGGCGTGTGCGGCGAGGGAGTACCGTGGGCACAGCCCTGGGTAAAGCAAGGGCAGTCTGCAGCCTTGAGCCAGCCTTGTGAAAGGCCCAGTAGGGTGGGTGGGTTTCAATCGAAACAAACGGTTTGAGTTCAAGGCTAGGAGCAAAACGGCCACCGCGTACGAGATTCACAACAGGCCCTAAACACAAGGGAAAAGAAAACCCAAAGCGTTAAGGCCTGTTGCGCTGCTCCACCCTCACATCAAAGAACCCCGCAAATCCAAAAGGCGCGCACTTCTTTCTCACGGGTTGCTTGAAAGTAGCACTGTTTGCAGGGCACGCGGTGCACCTGGAGCAGGAGGAAGCATTGTCCCCCTCTTCAGTGTTTCCAAGCAACCCCGGATAGAGCTGAGCCAGCTGAGTAGCCGACCAAACCCCCCCTTCAGAGCGGGGTTGCGCCTGACAGGGCGAATGCGCACATTGATCGGAAACTGCTTGGGATGCATGGTTGCATGCTCGAATCCGCTCTTTTAGCTCGCTGAGTTTGGTGACAAACTCTTTGATGCGGCAGCCAGGTTTTCTGGCCGCCAAGGCGCATCGATGGGGCACAGAGTAACCCCCTTCCAGCTTGAGCAAGGCTGCGAGGGCTGAAGCGCACGCGGTCTGCAGGGCGGTTCATGAAACGGTGAAGGCGTCCTCTGCTGAGGTCGTCCGCCCAGTCGTTCACACGTCCAGGCACGTGTGTGGGCTGCAAGTGCACGTTGTGTGCGCGAGCCCATGCAAAGGCCAAGAAGTGCTCAAAAGCTTGTTGACGCCTGCTTCGGTATCAGAGTTGTCCCTTCCGGACGGCAAGCTGAAGGAGTAGCGACTCCCTCCGACGCGCAAGTCTGAGTGGAGGTCACTGCCCATCCTCCAATGCCAACAATGTCGGCCTCTGCACACGCGTCGGCAGCTGCCAGAGCTTGGAGTTTGCAAGGCTGTGCAATTGGTTGGACGGGCGAGTGCTGGAAGCATGATCCGAGCCAGGCCAGACAGCACTGGCTGAATTTGGGAAAGGCTAGTATATGGGTTTGACGGGTCTGAGATCCTAACCCGCGCGGGCTTGCTGGTGCTGGGGATGGGCGTCACATCCTGCACACAATGCACTGGCTGGCCATTGACCGCGAGGAGCTTGGATCCTTCTGAGATCCAAAGGCCTGGCAGGCTAAGTCGGGTTTTGAGGTCACGATTCAAGCAGGCTCGAAATGCTGACCACGTCTGTGGTGGTATGCAGTGCGTTGAACCAGGGGGCTTCTCAGGTCTGCAGCATACAGAGGCGCAAGCCACGACCTGAGATGCAACGCGACGCTGGTCGCCCAGATGAGCAGGCCAACGCACTGCTCAAGGGTTTTTCTGAGGACTCGCTTTTGTGACAGTAGCGTCTCGACTAAGCCTGCGAGTTTGGCCAGCTTGCCCGCCTCCAAACTCTCTGTGCTGGATAAGGGGCACTCTGGAAGGCCTTGCATGACGTGCGAAACAATGCGTGAGACCATGTTATTGCTGCGCAGCCACTGCAACCACGCTGTTGCAAGGGCGGGGATCGAGGCCGCGCTTGTCACTCTTGCCGGGAATCCAGGCCGAGCGTGTTGCCGGGATTTGAGCCCCAGGCCTGGGTGCTGCAGAGAGAGGTCGGGTTGCCGACTGAGCTAAGGGAGCGCCAGGGGCAGCCTGCCGAGCTCGTCACCAAATGTCACCGCCGGGCTTGGCCCGAAAAAGGTGCGTAATTAGCACTTTTCGGGATGTCACCGCTTGTCGCCGGCGGGCACTTTTGGGTGGAACGCCAAGCTTGTCACTGTCGCCGGGATTCGAGCCCCAGGCCAGGGCGCCAACTCGGCGCAC